TTTCCTCGCTGGGGGGAGTGGCATTGCGAGACAGCTGGATGTTGGTAGTCTAGTGCATTTTGGTGAATTGGAAGAAATAAGCAATGATGTGTTTGGATAATTTGTGTAAGGTGTGTTGATGTTGTGATGTTTATTAATGTACCTGTTGTTGATTACTCCGAATTTTGATTGCCCTTGTTTTTGGCATCACTAGTTGTTTGCTTAGCAATGGTAGATTCCATCTGAGGAATCTATAATTGATATGTCCCCTTCCTTTGATGGGGGCCACAATGGTTGTTGTGTCACACAACCATATTTGTATAAAAAAAATCAGTTTAATGGATTCAGAGTAGAATATTATTCAGAATGCTGAAGAGGATTATAGTTGTTGGTCTTACCGGAAGAGCGATCACATATCCTGTAACTATTCTAGGCTTGTTGAAGTCCTAAATCATTGAGCCTACTAGCATCTTATGAACTGTTGTGGCCCATGCATAAGTTGACATTTTCCCCAAGTCGTCTATGTAGTTGATAAAGAACCAGGCAATTAAATTTCCTGTGTTGCAAAAGAGTAGCGTGGTGCAGAAGTATAGTGCCACCAGCCGCACAAAATCCTCTTGGCCTGCTGGTTGGCTTCCTTGTATTACCTTTCTTATACCATTTTCCACAAATTTTTTAATGATTTTGTGTGCATTTGTGAAATATCTTTCTGTGAAAACATTCTTTTATCTTTTTCCTTTGGTTTAGGTTTATTTTGTCACCTGTGTTTGGCAGTCTAAAAATGGCAGCTACGTGGGACGCCTTAAATTCTATTGTGTTCTTTCCGATAAAAAAATTCCTTATGTTAATAATTAAAATGTTGAATTATGTGTGCGATATCATGATTGGACTTCATGTAAAAAAAATTTGAAACTAGTTTGTTTTAGTTTGATTCGAACGAGGTCCAAAATGGAGTTGTTTTTTTAACTTCAATTGTTGTGTGGTTACCAAATGCTTGATGTCTTTCATCACACCGATAAAAAATAGTAGGTTGGACCTAAATTGGTCGATAGAAGACCTCTTAGGTGTTCTCTTTGTTGACATGGTGTAATTTGTATATAGTGGTAATAACAGGTACATTAAGTTACAGGTACACAGTTCAGTACTGGGAAAAAAATTACAGGTACATTAGCATGAAACACTTTACAATGCAGATTCATAATAAAAGGTTTTCTAATCCTGGTTGTCGCTTAGGTACATAGCATAGGTAGAATTATTTTAAGATGCATGTGCATGATATTAAAAGTCAAACAAAGTGAGTGAGAAGCAATAATCAGTTTTATTTGTATAACAGGTACATTATTAAATTGATAACAAAATAATCGATTTTTTAATGTTTTATTGCATGAAACCCTAGTTTTAGTTCACCAAAAATAGAATGGAAGACATAATCGAATGCTAATGAGTAGTGCATTAACAATATACCTATATGAGTATATTCAGGTACAATAAAATTCATGTATGTTATTGCAATGAAATCCTATTTTACATGAGAGAAGATTTTCTATTCCTCGTTGTCATTTATGTACATAGCGTAGACACAAAAAATTTAAGATTCAGGGACATGCAAAAGAAATTTAACAAAATGAGGGAGCAGCTATGTGCAGTTATATTCGTGCAACATGTACATTACAAAATACATAGCATTAAAACCTAGTATGGATTGAGTTGTATTTGCATGAAACCCTAGTTTTTTATCAGGAAAAAACGAATTGAAGACGTAATCGAATTGTAAATGGTAGGTATAATAACAATGTACCAATACTAGTGAATGGTTTTTTGATATGGTACTTGTTCAATTGAATGTCTTTTGAGACATTAACTGTCTGAGTGTAGTGTTTACAAATGTACAAAATACCTTTAGTAGGAAATACCATCATTTAAGCAAGTATTTTTTGAATTTCAAATATTTGTAAACATGTTTTTTTTTTAATGTATCGCGTGTGTATGAATAGTACATGTATACAATCAAAGGCACATGTCTTTCTACCTGGTTAGTTAGTTACACAAAATTAAATTATCAAATGGTGCTCGTACATTAAAAGGTAAATATATATTTCATGTAGAAAAGAGAAATTACGTATGTGGATTTTTCAAAAAAAAAAAAAAAAACAGAGAAGAAGGTCATTTTTTCAGGTCCTCCAACTCTACCTCAAGCTTTTTGCTCATGTTCCTCTCCTTTTGCAACTTTTTGATATAGTTTTTCTCCAGTCGTTTGTTGCGGTATTGGAGGAGTAGAGTTTGAATTTCAGCCTGTTGATTTCTTGCTGCTTATCTTGTTTAGCATGGGCGTCGTTCAAAAAGCTAGTAAGCATTTGGATATTAGACTGTGTTCTTTGTTGCCTTGACTGCTCCATTTTTGTTTTTTGTTTTGTGTTTTGTTCTAGTTTTTCAATGTATATTTATAGAGGCATTTTGATGGGGTAAATGAAAAGATTTTTTAAATGAAGAGATTTAATTATATGTTTATTGTGGTGTTTAATTGCGTAGTTAATCGAAGAAACGTCTGTGTAGTTCAGACTTCTTTTGGCAATATATCTATGCCAGCAATACACTAAAATGAGTCGATATTAGTAATACCTATGAACCGCCATTTAATGGATATGTTAAATGAGAGCAACTCATTTTCGTTTAGTGTACCTATATGACAAGTCTAGTTTTTGTAGAAGAAGGTACACTATGCTGACATACATTTTGAGAATTAATGTTCAAATTTGATGATGACATTGTCGTTATTTTTTATAATATTTAAGGGTGTTAGTTTTGTTTGTTTCTTTGACTTTTTAATAGGGACCTAACTCAAAAGAAAATTGGTGATTAGTTTTTTTTCTTGGAATCCTATTGGACCAAGGGACTGACCTCAAAAAACTCTTATTTTTATGACTAGAAATTTCTTTGACTCAACACAAAGTCGACACAAAATTAATAATTTATCTTGAAAAATTTGTATTGTAAACAACTGAACTCATCAAATATATTAAATCAATATGTCGACATGGACTTGATTAAATATGATATGAATATGCTAAACACGTCCTTTACACGACTTATAAACATAGATCTGATACGATACGAATACAACTATATCTATATAATAAAATATAATATAATTCAAATCTCAAAAAATAAATAAAATAACTTTTACTATTTGCAATTGAAATTTCTTTAAATTTTATTTTAAAATTAATCTGACAGCTAATATTAAAACCCTAAATTTAATAAGAAAAATAAGCCCCTAAGGGTATGTTTAGAGTAATTTTTTAAAAATATTTTTAAGAATTATTTCTCATAAAATTTTAAAAAAAAAATGTTTAGAACCGCTCCACCACTACCTCTACCACCATCACCCCCACTGCTCTACCAATATCAGCACTACCACCACCTTTGCCGCCACCATCACTGCCTCGCCACCACCACTGCCAACACTACCACCCTACCAAACCCACCACTCCATCACCACCACCACCACCACCGCTGCGCTGCCACTACCACCACCACTACCCCCACTATCACCACCTCCTCCACCGCCCCAACACCACCCCAATGACCATCACGACTACCACTATTGTCACTACCCCATTTGCACCCCCACCCCACCCTCACTGCCATCGCCACCCACCACCAATTGTTGTCATCGTTATCCATTACCATCACCTACCATCATCATCATCTTATTCTTATATTTATTACTTTTACCACCATCATCCCACTACCACCATCGCCCATCGTCAGTATCTATCACTACCATTGTTGCCCACCGTCACCCATTACCACAACCCACCGCCACCTGTCATCGCCCACCATCACCACTAGCCACTGTCACCCACCCCCCCACCACATCTAACACCACCACCCGACATCGCCCACCACTGCAGCCACCCATTGTCACCTAGAATCACCCATCATCACCAGCCGCCACCAACGTCATCGTCTCACCACCACCACTACCAACCATCATCACCGTCGTCCACCACCTCCTACACCAACCACCACCACCGCCATCACCCACGGCTGCCACTACCATCATCGTAACCCAAAAACCTACCACCACCATCACCATCGTCACCCACGGCTGCCACTACTACCACGATTGTCGTTATCCACCATAACCATCATCATCTCCCACCATCACCACTGTCATCCACCACCACTAACACCGCTCACCCCCATTATATAATTAGTACTTAAATTTCTTTATCTCTCATTTATGTTTGTGATTTAATTTTGGGTGTGAATATAAATATGTTTATTGTTTACAATTTTTTTTTATTATTACGTGTTTTCAGGCACGAGAAATAACTGGTACAATATAAGAGTCTTATACAAGTTAAGTGAATTTTAACTCAAAGTGGCAGACCAACATTAAGTAAAAGTAAATTTTAACTCGCAGCGGCAGACCAACATTAGGTAAGAGGTATATTACAAAGAACAAAATCTCCCCTCAAACAAATCTGTCATGCAACTTAATCTACTAAATTATCCCTCAAATTTGTGTTAAATTTTGGGCTCTGCTCCTGAACATATTCCACTCACAGTGGCAAGCCAGGACCAATCCTGAACTTAGTAGTACTTGTCCGACCACCTTAGATCATGATTGATAAGAGAGCTGAATGCACATTTTTTTTATTAATAAGAAACCTCTCCAAAACAAGACCATATTAGACCCACATGTGCATGGCTAATATTCGTAGGTTAACTAATTTTTTGTCCTAAATTAGTTTATCTACGAATATACCCAGAACAGATTTATTTCCGGGTGGAAAGGCTTGAAGCATGCAGGCTTAAGTATACCCATAACAGATTTAATCTTATCGTGCACAATCCTGCAATTTTCATCTCCATGATTGTCTTACCTTCTAAGCCTTCCTGTAAATGCCTACTTCGATCAAACCAAAATACAAGAAGATGCAGACCTACTCCAAGCTGCTTGCACAATTGGTTTCTAAAGAGGAACACAATACGAGACACCACCGTGAACCTTTAAATAAACCAAGCCGGAACCAAAATACCAGTCAATTCACATATTTTTATTGCAATGGGACTACAAACTCAACAAATCTAAAAATTCTTTGTTATGCGCATATTGAAATTTATCAACGTGAGGAAAATTGAACAGCTTGTCTCGGCATTTCCATATGGATAAACATAAGAATTTAACAAATCTATATCAACTTCTGCTGGCTGTAACGTAGTACTCCATAGACGTCTATGATGCCCGGAGGAAAAACGGGATCGGTTGCTGCTCTAACTGCAACCTTTGCCACTGCAGTAACTTTTACAGGAGGTGTGAATAGTGGGCCAACAAGAGGGACCTGAGTCAGTGGTTTTGCATGTTGGAGAACCTGCGAAGTACATAATTTACCTTTGTTATGGAGGAAAATTATTTCATCCTCAAGGGACTTTCATGAGGTGTGACACTGGAATTTAGAATTTGTGGTCTGCCCCTTTCTTAGGTGTCATTCTCTGTGTGTGTGTGTGCACGGTGGTTTTTTTTGGGGGGGGGGGGGGAGACCAAGAGAGAAAGAGAGCTTTTTGTGAACTAGAGATCAGGTAGGCATTGAAGCAATAACATGAGCAGCCAGACCTAGTTATATCTGGATTGCAGCAAATGAATTTTTCTTTTTATTTTTTTTGGTTTTTTTAAAAAAGTATATGCAGCAAAAAAATTGTGATTACAGGGTCAGATGCCTTAATAAATCTACCAGCACAATCATTTTTTAGAACATCTTGGGGCATAAGGAGAACATGTATACTCAATAGCATGGGCAAATTTTAAAAGAAAATACCAAAATACTTACCATCTCCAATGGAGAACCAATTACGCTTAAAGGCAACTTCATGCTACCCACACGACGAGTTCCATGAATAAATCCAGGCCTCAAAATTATTCCTGAAAAAATTTACTCATGTCATGCGTTAGAAGTGTCCATTCAGGAAAAACATAGGACCATCTTTTTCGGCTAGAAGATGCTATGAGCAGACCCGCAAAATCTTAATATAAGTTCAGTTTAACAGAATATGAAGTCCTAATTCTAAAACAGTTATTATGGTTGATCTAGTTTTTTTAATTTGGAGGGTAGGTCCCTCAGCTCTCAGTCAAATATGCCCTCAAAAAGCTGACTATAAGTGCAGCGCAACATTTACATCTCATGTTTCTAACTATGACAAAGAGAAAGCTCACCTCCATATGGATACTTGGTTAGTAGCTCTGTTTCAGCAGCTCTCTACATCAAACATTGTACAAAAAATGACGTTATTGCCAGAAACACAAAAAGCAAAAAACAAAAAGGAACTTAAACTTCACAAGTACACAAATAGGCTGTTCACAAATACATATATATATATTGAATTCAGAGGCTCATCTCTGTTCACAACGATAGCCAAGTCAATAGGACCAAGTACCCAAAATACAGAGTAAAAATAAGAAGTGCAAGAAAAGGTGCGCAAAAGTGGCAACTTTAAATCTGCCGCTAATGTCCAGGGTGTTAATATTTATCAACGAAAGAGGAAAGAAGATAAAGGGAGAGAGAAAGAGATTCTCATCAAGATAAACCAAGTTTGTATTACAGAATGTTAAGTTGGAAAACTTCACAATAAAGGATTGGCTAGGGTCTTCTTCAGCTAATGAAACCTCGATCCCGAAGCATATATACTAGGGGCAAAACATAGTAACATAAGTGACTAATCTACCCCTACTGCTAATGTACTAGATTACTCAAACATCCCCCTCAAACATCAAGAATTTGCCAAGAAAAAAACATAAGCGCGTGATGATGTGAGATTTCTAAAAGAAAACTGCAACTGCATGGTAAAAGTAAGAAAGGGGAGAGAAATCGTGTCCAACTGAAGATGATGACACACAAAGTGACAATCAATCTCAATATGTTTTGTGCGATCATGAAACACCGAGTTGTGGACAATTTGAATAACACTGTTGTTATCACAATACACATGAGTAATACATAGGAGTAAAAGTAAACAAGGAAATGCCAAGATCAGCAAGCAACCAACGCAACTCAACTATTTTTGTTGTGGTGGATGTCATAGCATGATGCTCACCTTTAATAGAGAATCAAGCCCCAACAGTTTGTTTCTTGCTTTTCTACGAAATAAAAGAATCAGAAAGAAAGAGACATAAACTAGTAGTGGACTTGCGATCCTTAAAATCACCAGCTCAGTCCGCATCAGAGTCAGCACGGAATTCTAGAGACGAGGAGGACGAAAATAATAAACTCTGATGCAATGTACCCCACAGATACCGAAGAACAACTGACCAGTGAGGTGTGGTAGGAGCAGCAACAAACTGACTAACCACATAAACAACATAAGCTATATTTGGACAAGTAATAGTAAGATATACCAAACTCCCAACAATACGACATAAGGTAAGATCAGGCTGGAGAGAACCATCAGAGGAAGTATAACCAACATTGAGCTCTAAGAGTGTGTCAACCGTACGATTATCCAATACGGAAGCTCGCTGAATAACATACGAGACATACTTTGATTGAGAAATAAAATAACTATTGGGTGAGGAAGAAACCTCAATCTCTAAAAAAATATCGAAGTAGACCCCTGTAACTGAGTTTTCAACAGTAGAAATCCACCATTTTAATCACTTGTAATAGTCATATCATCCAGATAAAGTAATAGAAGAATGAAACCTGAAGAAATGGATCATAGGAAGAGAGTAGAATCATGATCACAAGCATAGAAGCTTACGTCACATATGACCGAAGAAAATTTAGCAAACTATGCCCTCGAGACCTGTTTAAAGTCATATAAAGTCTTGTGAAGTTTGCAGACTTGATCAGGACCATGAGACAACCCCGGAGGAGGAGTCATATAGACCTTTTCAGATAAATCACTATGAAGAAAAGCATTTTTCACATTCATTTGAGAGAAGGCTCCACCGTGCAAATCGTGGTCATCTTAGCAACTGGAGCAAACGTCTCATCGTAGTCGAGCCATACTCTTGAGCAATCCCTTGACCACTAATTTAGCCTTTTACCTTTCCATAGAACCATCAGATTAAGTTTTGATTTTGTAAACCCACTTACAAACAATTCTGCGTTTACCAGGAGATAAAGAGACCAACTCCCGAGCTCGAGTCTTATGTAAAGTCGAAAGTTCCTCATCTATAGTCTGTTGTCAAAGAGGATCAAGTATAGCCTCCTTATAGGAGATTGGTTGAGACAAAAAGTGTATAGAAGTCAAGAAAGAACAAAAATCAAAAGAGTAACAAGAGTTGAAAAAAATCAAACCTATCAGGACACTTCCGAAGGCATTACGTGTAGCGAGGAGTGTGATCCACAATGCTAGAATCGTGTTGAAACATTCAAAACGTTTTGGATTTTCACACACTGACATGAAATAGGGGTGAAAAACAAAAAATCCTGTGTTTTGAGCGAACCGTCACTGTTTCGGACCGTTTAAGTTGAAACAGTGATATTTTGGTCAAAACATAGACTTGATTCGACTGATATCAAAAAAATGCAAGTCCACGCCAAAAAGGAAAGAGATTTTTCATATGGGGTGGGACAAAAGCAAAGCTCAGAAAATTATCGTTTCAAGAAAAAAAAAAAGGGCAGAGATTCTTCCCCAATCAACCCGTCTTCAACAAGACAGAGAGCACACCCAAAAATCAAAAGCAGGAGAAAGTTCAGCAGCATACCTTCCTGAATCCAAATCTAAGCCACCCTCCATTCCCACGGTCTAGATCCAGCCTCCTCCAAGTATGAGCTTCTTCCTTTCATCTTCTTTTTCCTCTCTCTTTCTTCCTTCTTCTCTATTGAGTCTTCATCGAGTCACTTTCTCACTTTGATTTGCAGATCTAAGATGGGTATTGCACCATTTTTCTCCTAAATCTACAAATTTGGATAGGGATGGGGCTGGCGAGCCTTGCAAGTGGGTCTAAGATCTTTCCCCCTCTCTCCCCCCTTTTTTCTTTTATTTATTTTTTGGTCAACTCTTTTATATTTGTTAATTAAGTTAATATCTTTTCTCCCCCTTTTTTTCTTTTATCATCTATTCATTATTAATAACCCTTATTATAATCCCTTCTTTTTTGTTTCTTTTTTCCTTTTATTCTTGTATATTATTATTATTTGTTAAATTGGTATATTAATAATATACCTTGTTTGTTAAATAGTTGCTAATGATATATAAAAGTGTTTATGCAAAATCAATCAAGTATACAATGGAGTATGCGATAGGGTATGCTCAACACAATCAAACACCCAGATTAGATGATTCGGTCCGAATGACCTACTCCACTAAGAATAGTTACAGTGGCCAGAGAGTTTTATTACTCAAAGTGTGTGGAGTGCTAAGAGATGAGTGATGCCCCCATGTGTAGTTGGGCTTACAATTTATAGGCAAGTAAAGTTTCATAACGGCTCCGAGGGAGTCGTGATTGAGGTGTCATTCTCGTAACAAGTGAGGTGGTTTCGTAAAACTGGCAATGTGCACTCCGATGACTGCTTTCTACGGATTCCCTTCCTAAAATGGAAATCTCCACGGGCACTAGTAATAGATCGGATCTTTCAAGACAGTGGGTTTGGCCTAACTAAAATTATGATCGAGCTTTTGTAGGTTTGCATTTGGGCTCGGTCTAGGTCAGACCCATCAGTTGCAATTAATTTTATAATATATACCCTATTTGCTAAATATCTGAAATTAAGTATTTGCTAGTCAAAATTGTTTATGCAATGATTTTAATATTAATGGAATAATATTACTTAGTAATTTGACGGCACAATTTAAAATTAAGTGTTTGAAACTAGTTTAAGTGATTTTCGTCTCGTGGGAAGCCTCTTTTCCCCTCCAACTTGAAGTTATCTTGTATAAATAGATGTTAACCCAATAAACATGCTCAATTAATCAATTATTAAACTTATCTTTATAAATAAATGGATTGAAATTTGTGTTTCTACGTGTTTTCATATTTCCTCTCTGTTTTCGTTGTGTTTCCGAAACCTTTCCGTTTTCGAACCGACCAAAACGGTACACCGAAACGATATTTCGATCCTTGGGTAAAAGTTACACAAGGTGGTTGTAGAGGGTTCTGCCATGAGGACAATAAGGGGTTGCAATGGTAGTGGTAGAACGTTTTGCAATGATGAAGCTATGGAGGGTAGTTTTGACCTAGATATGCAGTAGTTTTGGCTCGGATCAGAATTGATGGTTATGAAAGAAACATATTAGGGTATCAATGTCATCTTGCCATCCCTGTTAACAATTTTAATTTGTCAGACTGGCTCAAAGCCACATGAAGATTATGTGACTATTTTGAACTAGATAAGGTAGGCAAATTTCATTTTAACCTCTTTTATTTGGATAGGGGTAGGTAAACTTCCCAAACAACTAATAATCAATTTGTATCTACATATGAAAGCTGAAATAATGTAGCTTACCTTAGCATGTCATTACATTCCCCGCTGTCTTGCAGCTAATTTCACATAAATCAACAATAAATTTCTAATCAAAATAGCCGAGAGTACCTTGCCCTCGTAGTATCCTTGAAGAAGGTAATTTGCCACACCAAAGTCAGCAGCTGAGATGTAAACAAATCTTTTTACTCCTACAGAGAAGAATGATAGGTGGATTACTATGACATACCACACAACTAAAGTGCCAAAGATGTAGTAGAAATGAGAAACATAAGCTCTTCATTTAAAGAAGTGGTTCAATACCTGAGAAACAAATATAAAATGAGCAGGTTGCAGATCCACATCAACAAGAAGAAATTTTCTTAACAGAAGGGAACAATCAATAGAGTTGGTGGCACAAGAAGGAAAAAGGATCTCTAAAATGATACAGGATTGTTAATCATACGATTTCCAAAATGTTCAACTCAAAAAACTTGAGGGACGAATTGCCCAAAGTATTGAAAGCAGTGGCAGATTTATAGCGGGGGTGTGCTTAGAATTTTGACAATTATTTAGAACTTGTCCCCATTGAAAATATTTTAATGAACTGCGAGTGGCAGATTTATAGCGGGGGTGTGCTTTGAATTTGGACAATTATTTAGAACTTGTCCCCATTGAAAATATTTTAATGAACTGCGAGTAGTTTTGTATCTTATATAACAGTGCGTTTATTTTATATAATCAGCAATCAACAAAGAATAGTTTTTGCCAGGTCCCTCACTTTTTAACCATTTGTTCGTGTTCCCCGATTTCTTCGTGGGGACAGTGGGGCCAAAGATAAGGAAGCTTTCTCCGG